AGCTAAATCTTTCTATGAGAACATCTACAACTTCAAAAATTTCTTCTTTTGGCATGCCTAAAGCAGTATCCTTGAGCTAATTGTCCAGAATACAAAGAAAGATCAGCAAATTTGCAACATTATCAGCAGCCGTGCTCTTTCTCCGTCGATACCGTCGATAGTGTTGGTCGTTTCTATGAACATGAATGAAAAAACCCTTTTTTAGATGCATAGTTTGTTTTCTTGACGGAATATCCTAATGATCCGGATTTTTGATCCGATGTCGGATTTTAGTAAAGAAACGCACCCTCAGTGTTCGGTCGCATGTTTTTAAAAAGCAAACTTCGGTAAGTTTTACCTTAGCTCTAAATCTTCAAGTTTTTGTCTTCTTTATACTGAAACATGGCAAGTGTAGATTCCCAAGGTGAAATTGTTCCTGTAGAGCTTGCAAATCCAGAGGAAACACAGATACGGAGGGGTGAAAACGAACCGGTATGCTCGTTTATATTGCCGCCTTTATTTGACAAACACAGTGGATGGTACGGTAACGGTTTGATTGACGTCGCAGAAAAGTTTGAATTTGGAGTATGCTCAATGAGAGGTTCCCTCTTCCTGACTTATCAAGGAAGATCGAAGGAGACTCTATTCGCAGGATATCCAGAGCAGAAACGTATGACGGTTCTCCTTCGCCGTATTTTTGCGACCTGTTACAACTGTCTTAGTTGGCGCGGCTCAGGAAGGCAGTCCTGCGAAATCATGGGCTCTAAGAATTGGCATACCACGAGTGTATCAGAGAAAAAGGGAAAAGGACATCGAAGAAGAAGTTTTCAAAGATGAACGAAGCTTCTTTGAGCTATATTCTGCTTTATGTTCTTTAGAACATAACAAACGTAAAGCGCGAGCTCTGATTGGTCAGTTAGCCATCTACTATTTGCTCGTGTGCGCACGCCAAAAAACTGAGCTAGAGATGTAAAATTGAAGCAAATTCAGCAAATCTCCTCTCCTGTCAGTAAAATTCACCTATGAAATGTACAAGTGAAAAGTGCAAGGTGAAGAAAATACTCAGTTGTCGTTTTGAAGAAAAAAGTCATAAGATGAAGCGAAAAATTTCTTTTTCCTGGATGAATTTATCACTGTTTTCTTTAGTCCAGTCAATCTAGGCACTTTTGAGGCTGAACGTCAAACTAATTGCAACAGAATTGTTTTCAACGCCGTTTAAGTAAGGGTGACCTATCTAGCAACATACTAAAATCCGCCAAAATCCGTTCGGTGGAACATGCCAAAATTAAGCGTTAAACATTTTGAGCTTTTAACGGAGGTCATTCACGTTAGTTGAAATTATACGTTCAAACAAAAAATGCGCAAAGTGTGTTTGTTACTTTTATGGAAAAGTGAAAGAAGAAAGAATAACTGCTAACTAGTTTTCGGTGATAAAAACGACGCGTTTCTTTTTTTCAAAAATGATAAATATTGAACACGGTTGGCTTTTGCACAGGAAGCCCATGCTTCGCTCAAGGAACCCCAAAATAACAGGAGGCTTACAGAGTAATAGAGTGAACTTTTGGCTGTTAAACTACAACAACAAATTTAGTCGAAAGGCTTTAAATCTGAAAAATGAAAGCTGTTACTGATTATTCTGATGTCTGTATGGAAAACAAATGAAAGATTATTGTCCTTTGTGTTCCGCTAAGCCCCCTTTGTTGTTCTTTGGCAAAGGTTGGCTTCAAATGTAAGAGCTTTTATTAACGGTACTTAGCTGTTAAAAATATAATAGACTGGAAAATGAAATTCAAAGACGCGATAAATAGGAACTTTCCTAAAGTAAACAAAAAGTATTGAAAACGTTGTTCGCTGGTCACCACGGTGAAAGGTGTTTAAGTGTATTTCCGTCGCGTCTCGTTTTGCCTGTGCTGGGCTTTATTGGCAAATAGTAACTACCCAAGAGGCTATCGTTTGTGAGTGTAATCAAGGTTCCTTTATAGAATTAACTACCAGACAGTTTGACTTGAATTCCACGGTAATGGCGCTCTGAGGTCCCAATCTTCCTTACCAACAATGTTTCAACGTGAATTTTTTCTTGGACCGAAAAAGGCATCAGCGAAAAGGAGTGAGGGCAGGCATAGACTGACGGATCCTGAAGTCATAGGAGAGCAAAGACCCTTCAGCAGCGGGGATTTAAAAGACAGGAAAGATTGGAGGTTAGAGAATGGTGTTTTCGCTCGTTCCAGAGCAGAAACGTATAACGGTTCGCCTTTGCCATATTTTTGCGACTACACTAACACGGCGACCTGTTACAACTGTCTCTTTGACACGGCCCAAGGAAGGCAATTCTGCGAAATAATGGGCTCTAATTAAGTATTGTCACGAGTTTATCAGGGAAAAAAGAACAAAAGACATCGAAGAAGAAGTTTTCAGAGCTCTGGGTATTTCACAAAACATGAATGAAGCCTCTTTGAGCGATACTATACTTTACATGAGGCGGGAAGGCCCACAAGCCATGCGCAGTCCGAGTTCTATGGCAATCCGGCCAAATGATAGAAAATGGTTTGTTCGTTTGCACAATTTTAACTCGAATTCGGAGTATTATATCAACCCTGTGGATGGAATCAAAACTAATCTAGCTCCCTCGTGTCAGACAGCCACTTTCGAAGGACCTTCGGTACCAGTTGAAACAAGAGAAAGGGAAATTCAGGAAGTGTGGAATCAAACAAAGCCAACTCAAAATGAGTTTCTGCTGGTTCCTGAAAATGGCCAAGGCGCGGAGCAGGTGTTTGAATGGTCTTTGAACAGAAAAAAGCGAAAAATGGGAACTGCGAACTCGAAAAGAAAGTTCGTCACGTTTAATGGACTTCCTATCGAACCGCCCTTGATTACTGTTGATTTGTCGAATCAAATTATGAATCACACCACTCCCATTTCATAGAAATCCCTTCGTGTCGATCTAAAGTTTAAAGGAAGAGTTCTATCATCGGTTACTTTTTAAAAACTTTTAATACTAACGTTGTTTACTAATTTTACATTTCCCACCTACATGTAAATGGGTCTTTTGGGCAACAGACTGTTGACATAATAGAATTTACATACTTGACTTTCAACTGAAATTGCAAACTCGAATACACTATTCAGTGAAATCTTTCACAACAATGGGCCGCTTGCACTGAGAGGTCACGTGACCAATTCTTCCTTTAAACAATGAGTTGGAATCTTGCTGATGCCAAAAATTGACAGAGCGCATAAAAATTGTCTTACAACCGAAATTCGAGAGGTAACGCATTTAAGGGAGATATTTTATGGCATTTTGATTTTTCAACAAAGTAGTATGATTAGTATTGACCGCCATGTTGGAGGGCTTTTTGCTTATATCTTGTGAAACGTTTGATAGTTACGCTCAGATGTGCTGTAAATGTTACCACATCATCTTTTCAACATTTTCCTTGAAGTTTAAGTGCAAAATTTGTGTTCAGCAAGACGTAATTCATAATTTAAAAATCGTATTTTGGTCACGTGACCAGCTTCGAACTTACTCATTTTAAGAAAATGGTGCGGGTTTCAAAAACTAAATCACTATTGTTTTGTTTAAGATATGACCAACAACTCTGCAACCGGATGCAACTCCGCAAGCGGATGTGATGTCATAAGTCGGTGGATCATAGGTACACGAAATTTCGCTAAGTCGTGGCCCCCCTGATATGACCCACTAATCGTTTCTCGAAGGAAAAATCAGATAACTTTGATTTTCATAAAAACGATGTCACATGACATCTTAGTGCAAATGGCCTATTAACCTCTAGGCTTAAAGTATGTTATTTAGGTTTTTTAACAAGTGAAATGCGGGAAGTTGGACGTGGTAATTTCCAGTTTTAGATTTAAAACGTAGGAAAACTAAGATTGGTCACCCTTTATATCAAACATTCCTGGATCCACCAAAGTATGCAAACTAAACTTGAAAACGAAGTTTTGAATATTTCCCAAATGAAAAAGAAATGATTAATTAAGCAATATAAAACGTTTTTCTGTGTTTGTATAGCCTGATATAAACACGAAAGGGGTTGGGAAAATTCGAGACAGTTATGAAAACCTGAGACGAAGTCGAGGGTTTGAATAACTGTCTTGACCAGCTCCGGTTAAAACCACCTTAGTTTGTGAAACCAGGTTTGAACTGACTTAAACTTTGTAATGAGAGGTCTCGTAAGCGACCGCTCCCGTACTTGACCTGGACCAGTTTTGGCATTACCCAACTGGACTTTTCCATTGTTCTTAAACTCTCGTAAGAGACCACTCAAGCAACATTGAAATGAAACTGCACACTGTGCTAATGGTTCGTTGATAAATATCTGGGAGTTACTTTAATAAACAAAATTGGACGTAGTCAGGTTTAGCCGTCTATATCAGATATAAAGACACTCATAAGTGGGTGGGTTACTGCCCTCTATTGTTTCACCTAGGGGTGGCTTACGAGAGCTCATTCTCGAAAGCGACCAGCTTTAGTTACGACCAATTTTTTTTTTAATTTAAGAGGTGGTCGCTTACGAGAGCTTCGACTTTATGTCCAAATTTTTGAAGTGTTTGTGTGATCGAATCTCTGTAAGTGTGAAAGGACAATTAGGGAGCTTAAGCAACTACGACGACGACGACAAGGACAACGTCAAAAAACAATTGTTTTATTAGCAAAACAACTACTTTGCACGAGCATCACGCCTTTTAGTACATTTCTTTGACGTCCACTGCACGACTACCACGTGAAACCTCTCGATGTGAAGTTTTGTGGAAGACGTGGACATACGACGACAAATTGTCCTTCCTCAATTTGAACACGGATAAAGTCTTTAAAAATTCAACTCCAGGAAAACTCGCCTACATCTGATGAATTGTGTGGCTTCAAAGAGACGCGATAAAGTTTGAAAGGACGCAAATTCATTTTTTTAGTGATGAATTTCACTGCCGTCGTCGTCGTTGTTGTTTAAGGTCCCCAATAAAGTAAAGTTAGGATCCCAATATGCATTTCATTTCACTTCAAAGACTGATATCTACTTTTAGAAGCTATCGCTGTATTTAAGACTAAGGTGCGGCTGTCGCCCCACTGAATTGAGTTACAGGAATATAACCATGAATATTTCACTTGTTCAGGCAATAAAAAATCTTAAAATTCAGTGGAAGTTCAATCCTTAGACTACCAAAGGCTTTTGCAGATACATCACTGCTAATTCTCTATTACTAGACCTACAGCCATCACTAACATATGCTGATTGCAGAAAAAAAGGGAAAATAGACTAAAATGCAAAATTTAATGTTATATTTATGTACAAGTGCACTTAGCTACCCAGCTACGTCACAGACAACCCACCCAAATAACTAGAAACAAATGATCCAATTCAATTGTAACATGATTATTAAAACCCAAACTGGCAGGAGTCAGACCCTATTTACAAGTTTAACTGGAGAGAAGCAGTAAATCGATCCATCTGGTGGTCATAGAGGAACCTGGGATCTCCGGACTGCGAGTCCGGTCCAGCGCGCTCACCACATGACCAACGCTGTCTCCAAGAACAGAGGCGTATTTACCAAAATCGCATATACGGATAAGTATACCCTTCAAATCTGAAGTGCTGATATTACTCCCAAAAAATGATGCAAAATAAACTAAAAATGGAGTTTGTTTGACCAAATTTGAGACGGACAACGTAGGATAAATCTCGGTTGTCGTTACCCACGCAAGTCCCTTTTGACTTGTCGGCGAGGGTAATTGTCATGACTCCCGCAGACGGGGAGGGGTTGGGGCTACCCTTTTATCTCTTGAATTGTTCACTCCCTTTTTAATTTACGGTAAAAACACGTTTAACTTTAAAAGAATATAGAACAGATCCTATCAAGCCTATCTTAAACTAGTTTTTCTAGTTCACCAATGATGCCTTCCATAGTAGGTCTCTCTTGAGGATCTTGATGGAAACATCTCCGTATGAGAGCTCGAAAGATGCGGTCTGTTATCATGGCTACTTGCTCTTCACGCCTGTCAGGATCTGGCAGTTCCCCAATGCTCATCTCACAGAGGAGAGCTCCAAAACTGTACACATCGACCTGAAGATAACGAAATGAACGATGATTATTTAAAATATGTAAATTCTGGGTAACAACACTATAGCTCCACTTCAATACTCATCAACTTATGCATTATTTGACTTCTTTGTACACATATGACACTTTCAAAAGCGGTAATTTAAATAAGACATAGGTTTTGTTCCTTCCAAGGAATCAGATTTTTATAAAGCCACTAAAGGATCTTTTATACAACATTTCTCTTTATTCTACCCGTCACTCGACGACCAATCTCGACCACTAAAATATTTCACCTTTCCCTGAAATCAGTAGTCCAATGTTCTGTTTATTCTTCTGGTCTAGACTGTTTAGTACATGGCTTAGCCTGCCACAATTTTCATATAGCTCAGAGGTAGTCAAGCATCCGATTGACAAATATAATCATGACGATTTTCCTTGGGTATCTCGTACGGATACCATATGCTACATGAGTTGCCAAAAGTTAAAAAAAAAATAATAACAAATACAGACTAATGATTGACACAACATACATTCACGGTTTGATTTTTAGTAAAGGCTTCAGGAGCACTGTATACTGCAACACCTGGACAAACTGACATGGTATGCTGCATAATATTAGCAGCACCATAATCCGACACTTTGCCTCGCCATTGGTCAGCTTGTCTCCATAGCAACACATTGGCGCTGCTTATATCGCGGTGGATAATAGGACGTGGTTTCTTTTGGTGCAGGTAATTTAATGCTCGAGCCACATCCAAAGAGATGACAGCTACTTCAGTTGAAGAGAGAGATCGCTGCTCCAGCAATTTTCGTAAACTCGATTCCATGAGCTCTGTGACAAAGAGAGGACTTCCTTCATCATTTGTTGCTCCAATGAACTGCAGCAGACAAGGATGGCGGCATCTTGAAGCGATGCTCATTTCTCGCTCAAACAGTTGTCTGTTATGAGAGGAAAGGTTCAGAAGCACCTTGTAAATCTGTTTCACGGCAACAGTGCAGCCACAATACTTGCCTTCGACAACACTTCCCCAACCTCCCCTACCAAGGCATTTCTCTGTCAGCTGAATTTGATCACGTGAAATGACCCAATCAGGTGACTGTTGGCGTGGACGTCCACGTAACGCTTGTTGAGCTGTTGAAAGAGATATTTCCAGTTCATTCACTTCTTGTTCTTTTGCCCTCAGTTCTTCCTCTAAGGAGGTATTTTCTCTAACTTTTTCTTGAAGTTGCCCTTGCAAATTTGTCAACTGTTGTGTCAACTCCCTCAGTTGTCCTTCTCTCTTTCTAAGTTGCCCTTGAATGTTTGACAGCTGTTGTGTCATTTCTCTCAATTGTCCATCTTTCTCCGGTAGTTGTCTTTCAACATTTGTCAACTGCAATGTCCTCTCTCTTAGCTGTTCATTTCTCTCTCTTAGCTCTCCTTGAACATTTGTCAGCTGTTGTGTCACCTCCCTCTGTTTTCCGTCTCTCTGTCTTAGTTGTACTTGGACACTTTCCAACTGCTGTGTTAACTCCATCAATTGTCCTTAAAGAAATAAAGATAGAAGGGCACCTTTTTCAGCTTTTTGTCTAAGGGCCAAGTCGCACTAGAGGGCAATTTTACATTTGTTCTGGACAAATTCGACTTGAAATCGGCCAGTGACAAAAAATTTGTCCGGAGAGCTACAGTCGCACTTAAGAACAAAATCTGTGAACAAAACACAACACCATGCTGTGAGCGCCTTGTGATTTCAGCCCACAGTTGAACTAAAAGCTTCTCCTCTTCTTTACTCCATCTGTCCTGAGCCTTCTTGTTCTCGGCTGACGAAGATGCACGACGCGAAGAAGATGGGGTTGATGCCGGCATTGAGCTATCTTCGCTGAACTGGAGGGATTCTGGCAACGAGTCAGTACTCGTGGTCGAAGGAAATGGGCTGGGATTTCCTCGATCATTAAACATGTAAGGGTCTGCCAAAGGATAGATCCATCCTGGTGGATATTGTGGATACCGTATTCGTACGGAAAAAAATGGGTCGCCCGCGCCGGGATTCATGTTGTTGCGAAATGTGAACGTGATTAATTTTACAACGAAGTTTATAGCATAGAGACTCTGCTACATCTCACCTGTCAAATCATTTCCGAATTAAAACACACTCGCTATTGTTTTCCAAAATTTGTCTCAATTTGGCCTGCTCCAGAGGTAGTCGACGGCATCTTTGAAGTTTGTCCGTCTGCGACCAAATTTTGTCCCTTGGTGAACAAACCGTTCGCACTTGGTTTTTCATTGTGATGACAGATTTTTGACATAAATAAACAGTTTTGTCCTCTAGTGCGACTTGGCCCTAACAGCATAAAAAGAGACAATTTTCTTTGGTCTCACGCCTAGTGACCTTAGTGTAACATCTAGACAGGATTGCACTTAGAGACTGGATCTTCTAAAGTTGCTTCATTCTAAAGGGGAATTCCTGTCAATTTTTATTAATTTATTTTTATGCAGACCCAAGAAATCTGATCTCAACTTAATAATGTATCTGGTGTGTTGCTTGAATGTTTAAGATTTTTACCTCCGTATAGGATATTCAGTCTCCTCTCCAGTTGTTCTCTTGGTTACATTCACGAGCTGGCCTTATTTTTATTTTATTTACAAATAAAAATCACATTTCAGTTGATTGTTTTGTTTTATTTTTGCTGTTTTTTTTTGTTGATCAGACACGTATTATGTCCATCACTGTGAGAGCAGTCCAAATATCTTCTGCCGCCTTGAACGATGAGGGAGCCACCACATCTGGCCATTGTCCCCCTGCCTCTCTGTCGAAAAAGATAACCTCTCTTTTCACCTCCCCTAAAATGGCCCCTAAATATAACGGCTCATCAGTGGAGCTCAATGATCTTGGTTGCAATTATTCGTCAAAACAAATGGACCTTTAGTTGAATTCTCTTACCTGATAATTCCTTTGTTACAGTCTCCTTCTGAGTGTCCTCATTTGGGTCATTTTCTGTTTTAGGAGCAAATCTTCCTTCCCCTCTTTTCTTATATTCGCCACTTCTGATTTTTCTATCCTTTGGGTAAAGGTAAAGACATACCGACTCAGAGGAGAACCAAAGCAAAAACGTAGTTCAGTTAAAGTACTATATCCCAACCATTTTATTAGCCGATCTGCCATGGATCCGTCACGAAAAGGACTTTTATGTAGTCTGGTGAACAGGCTCTCCGCCGTTTGGTGGAAGGGGGCAAAAATGGTGGAGACGCCAAGAGGGAAGAAATAAAAGAGGGAATGGGAAAACCCCCTTTCACCCCCGCCGGCGAAAGAGATTTTGAAAAATGTGTTAGTGGCATGGCTTACTATTTTGGAAGAAATGTAGAAAGATTGCCGAACGGTTCATAACATTTCTTACTGTTAGCGTCACCTGAGAGCCTGCTGTTAAAACACAAACACGATTTTTTCGGTTATCACAGCATTGTGATGGATCTTTTCATTCGAAAAGACACGATTTTGAAAACCTACTCTGTTCAAGGCGTTTAAGGGTAGACAAGCGTGACGTAATATAATAAACACAACATAGGACACGGAAGAAAGTACTCTCTCATTTCGTAACAGAGGTGACAGAAATGATTTTAGGGAATTATAATATGTTATAATTTAAAACTTTCTTACATCTCTGAAATCGTCGTCCATGACAATTAGTCCTCTTTTCTCAGACAGAATCGTACGAGCTTCGCCAGTTTCACAGCTGTCCAGTGGTGTTTGCGCGTTCTTGTTTGCCTGCTTTGGGTCTGCACCGATATCTAACAGCAACAGCAGCATTTCTGATAAAATCACGGCTTCTTCAGGGTCAGCAGGCTTGAACGTCACAGCTAGATGGAGAGGTGTGTTTCCCTCGGTGTTAACGGCATTTACATCACACCCTGCATGTAAAATAAGCTTCATGGTCTCAACACAGGGAAGCTTGCACACTCTTCGCACATTGTCTTCTTTAATCGGAGTTTCATGCCACGCAGCTAAGTGAAGTAGAGTATTTCTATCGTTGTTACGAGGGTTTAAACGTAGAAATCTTTGAAGAAAGTCAATCATGTTGGCATTTTGAACTCTAACTTTGGTGTATATCATCAAAAGATAGAGAGCACAATATTGAAGCGTTTCTTCTTGCTCCTTGTTTTCATGCTCCTCTTGCAAGTTTTTAGACATACGTTCTTCTGTCCGTTTCTCACTTGCAGCAACCAGTATTTCAAACACTTCTTCAATAGAATTTGGACTCAAAAGTTTACCTTTTTGTAACATTTCTCCGAATAAATCTGTCAGGCGTTCAAGATCTTCTGTTATCGGAAAATCACAGTTCATGGCTTTCTCCATCGCTCGTTGCCACAAACCAATACAAAGATCGTACTGCTCAGAGTCAGCTAAAACAGCTCCCCGGAATCTGATTTCATACAGAATAGCTGGATTGTCAGATCCAAGGATTCTCTCTCTGATTATTAGTCCTTCCATGCCGATAGCATGATCATCACCTTCTAACAGAGCAAGTTCCCCAAGAGTTTGACTCTCTGTTCTATTTTGGTAAGCTTCCACAGGTTCCATTTTCTTTTTAAGCAATGGATGTGCCAGGTCTTCATATCTCATCTCCATTCCACGTTTCATGTAACTAAACGCTTTATTAATGTCCCGAGGTTTATCATTAGCACTGGTGGCACCAAGAAGTTCAAGAGCATCAATTCTCTGTTCCTTTTTACATTCCGGTCTGTTGATAAGATACTCCACCATTTCAATGGAACGTAAATTACAGGCATGGAGAAGTGGTGTTAAACCTTGATTATTTGGCAGTTGTGATGCTCCAAGAGCCAAAAGTTGACTGACCATTTCCAAGTATCCCCTTTTAACAGCGTCGTGAAGTGCAGTGTTGCCGGCATCTTTGTATTGCAGATCCATAAAGGCGCCTTTGTCAATAAGATAAGTAACAACACTTAAGTGGCCAAAGTAGCATGCTGCCATTAGAGGGGTGGACTCATAGTCATTGCGTGCATTCACATCTGCCCCGCTCTCAACCAAACATCTCACAACGTCAAGGTGGCCTTCGTGGGCAGCAACCCTCAATGGAGTCGAACCCGTCAATGTTCTGCTATCGACGTCAGCATTTCGTTCGATTAACAGTTTCACAACGTCGAGACGACCAGAAGCAGCAGCGGCCCACAAAGGTGTACAACCCTCTATAACTTCGTCATCCATCTTAAGCGTTCCTCGAGCCTCGATGTCTGCTCCATATCGTAGAAGAATCCTCACAGAATTCAGGTTTCCATTGTGAGCAGCGATGATGAGAGGAGTGACAAAATGACTGCCATCTTTAGTTTTTGTTTCCAAAGCGGTTTTACTTTGTTCAGGTTTCAGCCGCTTTAAAAGATCAGTCAGATCAGAAGAACCGTCACTGGCAGTTTGATAAACTTTCGTTGCACATTCACTAACGGATAGGTTACCCATTTTACTTGAGCTTCAGTTAAGCCTCTAGTTTGAATATTAATTACGTTTCACTTGAAAGGCAATAGGCTTGGGTAACCAAAACAACAAACAGACATTTTTGAGGTCATGACCTCGCATAAGCAGACTCTTATGAATTCAGTCGCACGCTTTATTTCGGTATGCTATCCCAAACGTGACAAATATCAAAGATGCAACTTTATAATTCAAATCCACCAATTCACTATCAAGATCGATAAAATTAACATCAATTTGCTTGTTGAATGTGTCAAGATTGTAGAATTTAATGTCAATTCCCACGTGTTTCATGTCATGTATCAAGAGACACGTTTTCTAAATCAAGATGCACGTTTTTTAAATCAAGAAGGGAGACGACAATTTTTGATCAGTTTTGTTTCCGAGAGGGACTGAAACTGCGCACACTGGCTGGAATTCAAGATGGCTTCTAATCGTTTCAAAATTCCAAATGCAAATGAATTTTTCGAAGGTTTGCTCTCCCTTTTGCATCAGTGCGGGGACTGGCTTAACTACAGAATACAGGGCAAATTTTCTAGGTATATTCGTTGGGGTGGCTCGGTGGCTCGGTAGTCCCGACTAACGAGCCACCGAGCCGTCGAGCCACTAAACTATATAACCTCGACTGAAGATCAGAGTCACCGAGCCGCCGAGCCACTAAAATATATACCTATAATCTGCTATAATAAATACTAAAGTATTTCCCTTGAAGGTTCGAGTTATCGGGAGTCGACTGTATGTTTATGCGTACGTATGCTAGTTCCCGAGTGAAAAGAAAGAGCTTTTATAGAAAAAGTGAACTCCAGATGTCTTTGTTGATTTCCGGCGGCCATATTGGTACAAAGCTCTACAAAGGTCAGGGGCACCCAACGAGGATATAGTTCAAAACCACTTAACATAGCATTGTTGAACGTATTTTAGTATTCAAACGGTAGATATAGGCATATTTTTATCCCCTAAAAGCTTTTCATCTGTTCGGATTTCCTAGCTGAAAATCTAGTGATCCGAAAATTATAGGGATAAAAACTTACCTTCTCGAAAATTTCAGCCAGGAAAAGGCTCCCGAAAATTCTAGGTGGCCTTTTTTTAGGGTCAAAATCCGTTAAAAATGAGTAATTATATCATTTTGCAGATGTTCGAAAATCCTAGGAGAGGCAGGCAGGCAAGAAATTTTACAACAAATGTTCCGAAAATTCTAGATCTCAAATCGTCTTCCGAACAGATATTTTCCCGAAAATTGCCGTTGGGTGCCCTTGAAAGGTGCGTGAAAAGTTTCGGCAAATAACTCAGAATTGGGCCACAAAGACCTGAGACTTTGACAAATTGATTATATAACTCTTTTATAACATTTCATTTTCTTGGCTTCTTCCACTGGACGGTTTCCAATTTATTCCTTTGTTCCGTGACAGTGAAAACTATCTATAGATTTAGCCAAACCTATAATCTGTATAATAAAGAAGCTTCCGTTTGTTTTCTTATAATTAAAGCAGCTAGTGAGCTTTAACTGGAAACTCGCCAGTGGGCTCCTGACCCTACAAATTTCATATGTTATCCACTTACACTTCGCAGGGTGACAAGCGATTCCTGTAAGTTGAGGTTTAATATCCCAGAGAAAAAACTGCAGTTAATACAAGATTGCTTGTAAAATACCTCAACCATTTGTAGTCACATGATTTATTCGCGTGACAACACGGAACATTCATTGTTGATGAAGACTGCAAATCGCCCAGAATGAAGCGTCATCGTCAGGGACTTTAAAGTGTGAGGCGCCCAAAAAATAAAACTTGAATGGTTTGTCAGACGGCCTGACAGTGGAGAAAAGAAGCCTTTTCAGACTATAATTTATTTTTCAAAATGCCTACCCTGGCTCAAGAGGTTTGTTCTCGAAGCACCTATGATGAAATAAACCGAGCACAGGGTTCGATACAGCTCCGCTTAAGATATCACAGCTGTTTGAACATGTTTGAACCAAAATCACACGTAAAATATTCAGCTCATCTTTACCCACTCAAGCTTGGTCTTTGATTCGTAAATCAGCTGGTATGTACAATCTTTAGAGTAATCTTACTTCATTAATAAGGTATCAAAAGAAAAAAAAAATGATTGCACTTAACAGACACGCGGCCTAGGATGACAGGAGAATGCTCCCGTATTTTCCATATCGCGACGACGGCAGGTTAATGTATAACAAAGTGATGTTTTAAACGGCAAGAGACTACGTTAACATGTGAGTATCTAACAAAGTCATCCCTTTCACAAACGTGCTGGATGTTATTTTTCAAGGCGTCAAGGTTAAGAGTACTTCAGCCTGAGAAAATCGCTGGCATTTTTCGATGTTTGAGTAACTGTTACACAAACATGATTGGTTCGATTACCAGCCACTGTTCGGAAAAGGAGATATGGCTCCTCCCCGAAAAAACGGCTGGACACGTGGGTATGTTATTGTCTCTTTTCACCAATCAGATCGTTGCCTGCCCAAATCAAGCAGGCAGCTTAAACACACTAATGATGACATTAATCACCTGACATTTCCCATTTCTGGCATCTCGCAACGACACATGAGAGGCAATATATGGATGATCGCGCGCAAACGTAGAAGTTAAACCTCGCTCGACTTTTAGGTTTATGCGCGCTCTTTCATACAAGGCCTCTATTTTACCCTTTACGCACGTGAATTTTACGCGGGTATGTGCACTTTAAAATTACGCGACAGTGGAAATTCACCCTTATAGCGGCCACTTAACTCTCGTTAGGTTAAAGACTTCCCAGACGCCTTGAGAACCAAGAGAGAGCTAATTATCATGCTATACAAGTTGCTATGGTTTCTGAGTGTAAAGCATAGCGCTGTGAACTTTCCAGTACCTGACTATGGGGCATTCACTCCCCTTATGCCAACCAAGGTTTACAACGACACGCAGGTACCACGAGGAGAGTTTGGCGTCTTCAATTTACCTAATGGCAACGTATCGTCAGTCAGTGCGTTAATCAATAATAATAGTTTAGTCCAAAGCGCAACTAATTAAAACCCCCAAAATGTTCTGATGACTTGTGCGAAAAATTTATCGTGATTGATAAAATTCCCGCGTTTTCACGGTTGTTAGGTCTCTCATGTCCCATTACCGAGCATTTGCGGGAGCTGGCGACCAAATTTGTGGTGACGTCATCGAAGGAGATCAATTTCCGTGTACTCATGAGCATATGGCCTGAAGGCGGGCTACTAATTTCCGACAAACATCCCCTTTTCCTTTTTATGAGCGTTGTCTTTTTCGGGGGGTGTTCCTCGTAAATAAACGACGTGGTTAGTCTAACTTTTTATCTCCTGTTCTTTCTCCAGATGCAGTTTCAAGTCGCAGTGAACGTTGGTACACTTCATTACGACACGTTATTTGATTACTATTCACAGCTGCCCGATCCCAATGCGTCCAAACTCGTTGATACTAAAATACTACAATTTCTACAAAAAAGGCATAAATCGCAAGTTAAAGCGAAGAAATCGGATGTGATAGAAAAACGGTCGTTTGACGTACCCCTATCTGCAGTATCCCTGGCTTCCAAACGGTGTCTCTACATAAGAAAACCAAGTAACTTGCCTACGAAGAGAACTGATAGGGCTGTAAAATCTTGATTCATATCATTTGCAACTGAAAATGAAACTTGTTTTAAAATAGGGCAGATAATGGTACAAGGTTAAATTGATTAACGAACAGCCGGAATATAATAAAAGCAGAATGAGAAACCGTTTATAGGTGGTTGTACAGTGTTGTATCATACAACCTCCCTCAGGTTATGTTCCCACTACACAGGATATTTTTTACGCCGCACGAGAATCATACCAGATAGGGTTTCCGTTCACACACAAGAACGGTGATTTTGGTGCGATTTCTGTGACGGATGGCGCATCATATATATATGGGATAGGTTTTGGGCAGTGTGAATTCCTATCCAGACCGTGGCGATTAAAGAAAGTAGGGGGCTTAAGCTATTACGACGACGACGGCAGTGAAAAAAAAAACTAAAAAAATGAATTTGCGTCCTTTCAAACATTATCGCGTCTATTTGGAACTGCTCAATTCGTCAAATGTAGGCGACTTTTCGACTTTCCTTAGAGTTGAATTCTTAAGGGTTTTATCCATGTTCAAATAGAGAAAGGAAAATTTGTCTTCTTATGTCCACGTCCTCCATAAAATGTCGCATTGGGAGGTTTCACGTCGTAGTCGTGCAGTGGACGTCAAAGAAATGTACTATAAAAAGCGTGATGCACGTGCAGAGCTGTTGTTTTGGTTATAAAACCAATTGTTTTTTGACGTTGTAGTCGTCGTCGTCGTCGTAGTTGATTAAGGTCCCTAGTAAGTCGGAGCGAGGACTGAAACCCACTGACACGGAAGTAAATATTCATGAGTGAGGACTGGAATTTAGTGCACCAAACTCTACCGCGCCGTCTACCACACCATCACGACCCTACCGGAAAGCTTTTCGTGCCGATACGAAAAGCTATCCGTAGTGTGAACATATAGCCTCAGTTTTTCTTCCTTCCAGCTGCTGTCCCTCAAGGGTTTCTGTTTCATGTCTCGTCTCATAGTAAGGGAATGCGGATTTTGAAATCCTGGAATTGAAATTTTCCTTGTGGAATCCGGAATCCGGAAAAATTTTTGCTTCTGGAATCTGGAATAGAGCTCAAAGAATCCGGAATCCCACTAGGACTGGAATCCAGAATCCAAGTTCACTGATAAACTCTGAAATTCCGAACATGGAATGGGGAATTCAAGGCGTGGAATGTAGAATCCAAGAATGTGTTGTATTGTGACGATATGTCAGCAGTTTACTATCTTTGCCATCAGGGCCGAGTTGTTCAAAGCTGGGTTAAGATAACCCAGGGTTAGTGCGAGATTTGAATTCAGATTTGAAAGATTAAAAAGTATTTCAGTTTTAATTCTTTTTGTCTACAAGTTGATGATTGGAAGCTCTAAAAATAACAGATAAAATTCTTCGAGAAAATGCTTTTGAGCACACAAAAAAGAAACCAGGGTTAAATTTACCCCCGTGTTAAGCGCTAATTGGCCTTCGAACAACTGGGCCCAGGTCTATCAGTTGAACTACTTGCGAAATAAGACATATTTTTTCCACGAGCCTCGCCGGACTGACGAGGCTCGAAGAGCGAAATATATTTCGAGGATTTTAAAACTTCTAGGACATTTTTACATTTTACGTGCGTCGAATGTGATAAAGACGTGATGTCTTAATATTTTGCAAGGAGTTCAAGTTATTCGAACACATTCCTAGTCCTGTCATTTACAATTTCTCAAAAACAGGTCTATCAGGAACTGAAGCAAATCAACATATTTTCACAATCTTTAGTGAATGCAACTCCGATTGGCGCATGTTCCGTTTGAAACCAACACTGCTTTCTACCCTGCTGGTTGTAAATTTGTATTGAAGAATTCCCACTGTCGCTAACTAGAAGAAGCTGTTTAGAATAGTCCACTGCAATACAGGATGGAATTACCAGCTGTAAACCACTAATCGTTCTGATAACACAACCCTTTTTGTTGAATACTATCACACTTTGCTTTCTGGAGTCTGCCACAAAGTATTTACCATTTAGAGAAACTGCCTTCTCAGGTGTCACCAAAATCCCTTCCCCTACCAATGACACAAGTTCTCCAGATGGATTATAAATGAGAATGCATGGCAGGGTATCGGTTTCATCAAAGCATGGACATGATGAGATGATGATATAGCCATTTAAATCAACTGATAAGGATGAAAACTTCACTTTCTCTCGAGGAGGAGCAGTTACAGATTTTTTCTTACTATTTACAATCCCATACAAATTAAAATATAACAGACGATTGCTTTCACGATCTAAGACAACCACTTCAATGCCTTTCAAAAGGGCAACATCCCACGGGTCACCCTGCTTGATGCAAAATTTGCTCAAGGGCTCTCCGTTTTCTTTGAAAATGTGCACATACTTCATTTCTCCACCCACATCCAACACAGCAAAGTGGCCATTAAGTCTAGACACTGCCACTGAAAATGGGGAAAACTGTGTTGTCCCATGTAAGCAGCGGTTGTCTATAATCTGAATCAAAGAGCCTGATCTCGAATACTTTAACAGTTTCGGAGCAGCTGGTGTTGATGTGGTTATGTTAAGCTCTCCAATCAAACTCTTCTTTTCACTCACGAATTTCTCCAATGAGTCAGAATTTGTCAGTGATACTTCGAAAGACTGTTTGAATTCGCATTTTGCCCAAACCATCCTTGTATCCAAAGCTGTGGAGAAAATGTTCAACTTCTGAACCAAATCTTCGCACGAGTCTTTGACGCTCATCCTGCCATTCTGTAGTTCTTCTCGTGTGGCTTGCACGCAACTGCTAGCACTATCACACAGTTTTAAAGTGTTCATTTTATGCGTTGCAAAAGCTCCCTCGTTTAAATCATCGCGCAATCTTTGATCAATTTCATGAAACATCTGCCTTTCTTGTTTACGTACCATAAAAACAGCTTGATCCGCTAGAGACTTGATCTTCTGTTTCGTTTCTTCGGCCTGGCTTTTAGCGGTGACCAAGAACTCTTCAGTTTCTTTAAGGTCTGCTTTAGCATTCTCTATTTTTGATTTACAGTTTTCTAGAGCGTGTTTGATAGACTTTCTCTCTTTTAGTTCGGAATTCTCCAGCAAACGAACTAACAAATGATTCTTTGGAAACGTTACGACTCCACCCTTCGGAATAACAGACTCGACTCTGCAAACGGGGCATTCGATTACCTTCCTTTTTCTTTTTGCCATTCTCTCAAGACAATTCTGACAGATATTGTGAGCGCAGTTTGGAAGGCACTTCGGTTCTTCAAAGTCCTCATAACAGATGGGGCAACTGAGTTCATTTTCAAAAGCATCGACTACCGAGGCTGCCATAATGTGAAAGCGTTCTTGTCAAGACAAATGCAAGTGCGGTTAAGGTTCTCTTTGTCAAAACAATAAAATCTGGGCACATTTTTCAAAGACCGACAAACGAGCGAAGTATCCATAAGCCTGAATGCTTGGAGAGTAAACCGGAAGTAGGTTACTACTTCGTGTAAGTCTGTTGTTTTGTGTACTTCACCAAAATCATGTAATCACTCGTGACAAAGGAACGGAACATGGAAAGCCCAGGCAGGAGCCGGCTCCTGGCCGGCCCAGGGTTATGGAGGACCCTCTGGTCAAAACCTTACGGTCAAACGCATCTTGCTTTTTTCGATCTTAAAATAATGGGGGGGGGGGATGGGGGGGGGGTTGGGGCCCTCCCAGATCCTCCATCAGTAATATAACCTTCAGCGATCGCTTGTCGCACTAAGCCCATCCAATATATAGATCTCCGCGTGATACCTCTAATGGTCGTGTACAGATCAGCATATGCTAATGTTGCAAAAAATTAAGCTAGTTTCGATTCATCGTGGATGATAGTTAGTGTGCGGCTTCGGTTAGCCTGCGAAGCGCAGACGTATTTCCGGTCGTCGCTTCTCTCCCTGCGAAAAATAATTGTATAATTTGCTAGGCTTCGGTGCGTAAAAACTTGAAGATTTCTCTGTCATCTCCGTGACTCTCGCTAACCGTATATAAACAAAAGAAAGCGGCAAAGAAAACAGCAGCCTTAGAGTTTTTGTTACTTTGGACGACCAACCCGTCCTTGTTCGGACAGACGCTTGTCAAAGCTACCCAGAAAGAGCGAAGTTGAAACAAGGATGTGATATCACCTATCACCTGAGATGGACCTCCGCTTAAGCCAACAACAATAGACGAGTTTGCTAATGGGGGTACCCAATTCTCATTTAACTCCTAATTTTGTGGCTAAATATCGGGTAAGTAACAACTGGTTTTTTTGCCCAATTATCAGTTAACTGTTAACCCCATTGGTACCCTCTTAGACTGCTTGGAGCACTTGGATTACATCCGATTGCAATTGGTACCGATGATAAAGGACCTCCTTGGGATTGTGCTTTGGACGTTTTTGATAAAAGTGGAATTGCTTGTGGAGCTATGCTATCAAACCCTGGTCCCCGTGTTGCAGATTTTTCAACGAGAAAAGTTTTTAGCTTAATTTTGTGAAGGAGTGACTTTCTTCATTCAACTAGTTTCAGCATCCAAGCCTGCGTAGCAGGCGCTTGGAAGTAATTGGCGCAAGAAACAAAGAGACACGCGAGGAAGGTACAGGCGGGGGAAGCGGAAGCGCACTCCTTCCGTCCCTTCCAACCTGCTACGTACGGTGGCCAACAGAAACCTCAAGGCAAAAACAAAATACTTCACGGCAAAACCGAAAACCTCACGGAAAAAACAAAATACCTCACGACAAAACCAAAACCCTCACGGCAAAACCAAAGACCTCACGGCAAAACCAAATACTTCACAGCAAAAAACAAATACCTCACGGCAAAAGCAAATACCCACAGCAAAACCAAAGCTATTTTGTTTTTGCTGTGAAGTATTTGGTTTTGCCGTGAGGTTTTTGGTTTTGCCGTGAGGTATTTTGT